TCCTTGTACAGTTTCTTGGCAATTGACTTTGTGTTGACCCAATTATATATAGATTGTTCATATTTGCAGTATTGATTTTCTGAAGAGGGCATCGATTGTTGATCCTACAATCTATATTAGTTTCAGTGGCAGAATTCTCATCTTCTATTGCGCTAGATAGATATTTGTTAACAGCAAAGTTGAATAGTGATCACCATTTTCATGTAGTTGTTTGTTTGTTATTTCCTCTGTTTACTTGATGCAACATCAAGTTGGTAATCTTCAAAGTAATCAGTATTTATAGGCAGTTTAACTTGATAAGACCTCATGCCTCTGGTTAGTGAGCGGCCCAAGGGCGAGGCCCCTATCTTCCGATTCTTCTCGTGCCGCCAACTCCAGAACAAGTGCTATGCCGCCTGTCAAATCTGCGACTCCCGTGCGCTGCCACCAGCCATGGTGTGACCACCCCTTGGGCCGATCGGGCCGCCAGGCCCAGCCTGCACAGGCGAAGTAGCTAGCCCTAAAGCCAAAGCCTTAGGGAGTGTTCGGCTGGCTGGTTGAATAAGCAAAAATATTATTCCAGCTGGGTTATTGTGAGAGAAAAATATTATTCTGGCTGAAAGACACTATTCCCGCGTGAGTGGGCTGGCCAGCACCAGCCAGCCAACCAGCCGAACGAGCTGTTAGGGCCCTTTTGTCCAATGCCCACAACCCTTGGGCCACACAGGCCACTGAATAAATCCGGTGGTGCACTAAATGCACACCGACCGCCTCTGCGAACTTATTTTCAAACTCTTTTTAAACCTTTTGAAAACTTGCTACTCCAAGTGTTATCCTATGAGACAACCATCACCTTTAGCTCATGTTAGCATTTTTAAAATCGTATCACAAAGGTGTTCAAACACATTTCCATACCACTATTCGATCCTAGCACGCATGCATAGTTAGATGACCAACATTGTGATAGAACGAGGCCACCACAGAACCAAACTCTAGAGGTCACCAAAACAGTTTTAGGTCTTCATCCAAAACAGCTTTGTTATACGAAAATGAGGATCCTTTCTTGGTGTCTAGGCTCTAGAACAGTTAGGCTACGAGCTCGCCACTGTTTGAGATCTTCTTCCAAAACTTTGTCGGACTGAAATAAGGATCCTTTTCTGGTGTCTAGGCTTTAGAATAGTCAGGCTAAGAATCCATTTCAGGCAAGAGACAGTTTAAAAGAACATCTAACAAGTAGTCACCACTCACTACCAAGAACGCACCATTACAAATAAAGGTAAACAGGACTTGATTCTAATTCTCACTAGTGTATTTCCACTAAAAAATAATATGTACTCAGTAATGTAAACTCCACCTTAGGCTAACTACACATATATGACCATGTCATAAGTAAACATCTAAACTGCATGCTACATGTTTGCAACCTGATTAATTCATGTGCTAGCAACATTGTTCTCACTGCATTTTGCTTTTCATCGTGATTCATAATGTACTATCAACAATACTGAAAATTTCCTTGGAAAAAGGATCAGGAGACACTACTGCTTAAGGTTACATGAACACCATTGTATATCAGAATAACTGAGGAAGGGTACATGGAAATCAAAATTTCACGTCTCTGAGCATTATTCGAATTTGGTACTAAAATCTCCTTGGGGAAAACATTCTAGAGATACTACTGCTTAAGATTACAAGAGCACCATGTCAAGTCAGAATAACTGAGCAAAGGAAAACAGAAATGAAAATTACATGTCTCTGAGCATTGCTCAAATTTGCTTCAAATAAACAAGTTTGCCAACACCAGCCACCACACACCTCAATACAAAACTGAGAATAACAATCAAATGTACTATGAGATAGCAAGATTTTATCCATCTTGCAAGTCTGTTCATTCACCGAGAGAATACAGGTCCATCAAAGCAACAAACCAACCGCATTCACATCAGCCAACACCTTATGCACTCTTTATTTGCTGCATTTAGTTACAACAATAACATAAAACCATGAATAACTTACAATATCATATGCAACATCAGGGGTGCATAATAACAATTTAAACAGATACCAAGCTAAGCAGTTTGATACTGTCTGCTCTATCAACACTAGATTAGGACCTAATGAATACTAAAATTTGGGCAAACTGTAGGCTTTGCATAATTGTACTAGATTGAATTGTTTGCACCACTCAGATTTTTCCGCATTAAATTGGACATAAAGTTGTATGATATGACACAGTAGTGTGCGTAAGAACAATGTAGAAGGTATCTTAGTGACAATCCAAAGAAGGGTGATATACCAATAGTTGTATAAGGAAAAAGTTTGGTGTGTAAGATAATCTGCTGCTCCCTTTTGATCTTTTGCTGCAGCAGAGAGTTGGTATTGTGGTCAGCTCTTGCTGTCCATCTATTGTACATTTGTACTGTAGGAGTATGGCAATAGGCCAACTGTGTAGTGGCATACATCAGCCATGTAGCAGTAGTTGAAGGCTGAGCTAAGCCATGTACTACTGTACCATATAGTTGGTACTAGACTCGTATATATACTCCCTCTGTCCCTGAATAAATAGATCCTAGAGTTGTCTTAAGTCAAACTTTTTAAACTTTGACCAAATTTCTAGAAAAAAACGTTAAGATTTATGGTATCAAAGTCAACCTTTTTAAACTTTGACCAAATTTCTAGAAAAAAACGTTAACATTTATGGTATCAGATTAGTATCATTACATTTGCCATAGAGTATATTTTCATAATGTGCTCATTTTATATCATAAATGTTGTTACTCTTTTCTATAAAGTTAGTCAAACTTAAAAAGTTTGACTGGCACGGATTCTAGGAATTGATTTATTCAGGGACAGAGGGAGTACTAGACAATGCAATGGAGAGAACAGTTCAGTTGCTGCACATTCGACTTGTGCTAGTGTTGTGTGTGTGCTATGTTCTTAGTGTTCTTCTACCTCTAGCCGTGAGTTGTGAGAGTGAGTGAGCTGATTGCTCCTCTCTCCTCGAATGCGGCGTGGAGGGAGGGGGCCGCCACCGCATCGCGTGCCTCAGCCTGGACCGCAGCGTCGACGCCGAGGAAGAGGAGCTCCGCATCTAGGCGGCACGTGCGTCGGTCACCATCGGCGGAGGAGGCAGGGCCGCCGCCACCCCACCCCAGCGGAGGCGGGGCCGCCGAGGAGGGCGGGAGCAAGGGCGGGGTCAACATGTTCGGCCAGACGCACCCCGCCATTGCCGCCTATGTCGTCGAGTGTATGAACTGTGTCGAGGAGGTCGGGAGCAAAGGGAGGGTCGCCGGTGAGGGAGAGAATCCAATGTCGCCGGTGAAGAAGAATCCGAGAGGACGGCATCCCGTGTGTGCGTGGGGAAAAAACGGAAGGAAACTGACGTTTCGGAGCTTGGGGCAGAGCCCCCAGAAATGGGTGCTGGAAGGGGGATTTGGGTGCCCACCCAAATTTCGGGGCTCAAGTAGGGGCCCTGATGGAGCACAGTTTTTTGAATGGGCACCCCATATTTAGCTATGGGGGCTCAAGTAGGGACCTGCTGGAGTTGAGCATGAACTTGTGGAATCCATAACTATTGATGTATGTTTGGTTGACTAGCTGATGAGCAACAAAAACGATGATTGAATTGAGCTGGCTGGTGCAGGTTGAAAATTTCAATGGTGTGGGCCCAGTGACAATGCTTGCCGCTTGCACATAAATACTGAGCTTCTCTCGTGTTGCAGAAGTTGAGAAACAAGCAAGATTGAATCGTCTTGCCTACTAGCCCAGCTCAGTCATGGTCAAAGCAAGCAAAACTAACTCTGCTTCTAACCAATGGTTGTATCAAATGGAAGATGGGATGTTCCCCAGACCCCGCACAGAGCGGGAGCTCTCTGCACTAGGTACGCCCTTTTATCAAATGGAAGATGACAAGTTTGACGACAGGTTGGAGGCCTGCTGTTAGAGATGGGATGTCATGCGAATATGAGTTGAAGCTGGAGTTTAGTGGATAGAAACCACTGGAGACTGCTGCCAACTGAAATTACTGACTATATAGAGAGCAAAGCAATGGACCAGCACATTCAAAGTTCAATTACTGACTACATAGAGATTGATGACTACATAGAGAGCAAAGCAATGGACCTCAATTAACTTCTCCTGGGATGTCTCCCTGCCACTAGCTGAAAGATTGATGAGGGCCAATGAGGTGCACGCTTTGGAATTCTTCGTCGAAGCATCCCTAATTGCAGCATGGGAGCTCTGGAAACTTAGAAACGACAAGATTTTTCAGCGTCGAGACCCAACTCCTTCTCTATGGCTTGTAAATTTCAAGCATCAATGTAATTTGCAATCTGTTAGACTCAGGGAGGACCTTAGGTCTTCCTTTTGCTTTTGGCTAGATGCTTTCAGTTAAAACAGGTTTGTAATCTTGACTGTTGCTTAAATTATTTATAAAATCTACTGTGGGGATCTCCCCCACAGTCCTTTGTTTCAAAAAAAAAATCATAAGTCCACTGGGTACAATATGAACACGTGTACAATGGAGCTAGTGTGAGCGAGAGTAACTAGATCTTAACCAATAACTATTACTGCATACCTAGCTAGGTTTTTGTTTGGATTAGTGGAATTAAAATAAAACGTTAATAGAAAACAAGTTCCATTGAGATTTTTAGGAAGACCAATTTTAGGAAATTGTTCTGTTATGATAAGTCCATAGTATACCTTGTTTGGATAGGTTGTTTCAGCTGATGCAAATGAAGACATGAGGAAGTGGTTTTCCAGGAAAACTCAAACAGGTTTTGATTCCTCATAAAACCCACAATACTGGTTTCAGCATAAAGAGACTTTTCTTATCCAGATTTTATCTTATCGATACTTAGCCAAAAAGAATTTTAGGTTGTTTTGGATTATCAAAATATGTTTGTAACAAAATTATAGATCAAATAATCCCTAAGAGAAGAGACAGGTCTATTTTTTTAGAAAAGATTCCAATCTGGAACTCAATAGAACATCCTAGTAATAAATGAGGACAAAGTACATACCTTTTTCTCCTCCTCAATCTTGGCCTTTATAAATGAGTAGAGGGCAACACCAAAAATAGCAATGGAAGTGCCAATTCCAGTCTGTGTGGTGATCTTGTTGCCTGCTCAACATTAAGCTCACTGTGTTATTTGAAAACACTATTTGCACAGTAGCAAGAACAACTATATGGTTATAGGTAACTAGATCACTAAGAAACATCAGAGTTCATTCAAGTACCAAAGACGATGATGGAAAAGCCAATGACAAATACACGTTTCAACACATTGCCGATGGCGTGTGATAGAGGGGCTACCCGCTCCAATGTGTTTGTGGCAACCTGGATGTACATTTTTCCAGTCAACATATGATAGATAGCTGAATGAAAAAATGATAAGAATATCATCACAAAAAAAAACCAGTATGCAGCATATTTGCACATATCATGTTGTGCTTCCACAAATTCTTTGAAACCACCCCAGCAGGACGCTATGCATATGTGCAGTCTTTCGTGTTCCATCCTTGCTTCTTCCCCAGAACGATTAATATATTGTCATTACATTCTTCTTTTCAAGAGACATTATATGCAAGCATTACTCATTTGGAATTCGGATATCGAATTAACCCAACACTAACACTACTCTATTTGAGCCACAATGTCCAACTCCAGTTGACCAATGTTATTCACTGTCCTTGATCTTTTATGACCAAATGCATTTGATATTGATCTTTTTGTACTTTTAACTTAAATAAATGTTAGGGATAATTGCAAATTTTCCACTAGTCCAAACCTTTGATTCAAATTCGCAATTACAAAATCATCAAAACAATTGTGTGCCACTAAAATCGACTCTTATGCCTTATGTTTGCCATTACTCGGTCCATCCGTGACAAATCATTACTTCAAGCTGACCATGGCTTCGTATAGTGGCATATTCACCATAATCAAACCGATGGAAATATGCAATCAGCCCTACATACTAGCAAGAATACGGACAGTTCACATGCCACGAAGTTATATACCTGGTTATAAAGGTGATAGAATAAGCCCACCACAAAAAAGTTAGAAATCAACTTTGTTAATCCAACTTTGGCAATTGCATCTTTAAATCCATGCTGCATTAATTGAGGTCCTTCAATCTGAAAGTTGAGAATATAAGAAACAATCATGAAATGAATGGTCAGTACTCTAGCACAAGAGTTTAAAAGTAGTTAATGGACTTTACAATTCTATGTATCCAAAAATCTCAAACAAAACAATGAACGCCTACACGTTTGCTAACTAAACAATCACATGCTGGCATGTGCAGACACAGAACAAAATTAAGTTGTGCTGCTAGTAGCAAGTATAGCAAACCATACTAATGGAGTGGATGTTCATCTCTAAGGAACTACCATGGTACTGAAAATAATCTGGGTGGTGAGGATGCCAATTGTTCAAATTAAGCAGGTGCGATAAATCTATTCTTGTTTAATTGTCTTCTCATCATTTTCTCAACTGTTCTTACTCATGTTGTGTTTTCTTTCCTTGTGTGTTGTTATTTCTTGATCAAATGTCCTAGTACAGCATTGATAAAAATTAATTGAAGGTCTAATGCTTGTGACTGAATGGAAGTTTAAATAACTGAAAATTAGGCATTCTAAGAAAGAATAAGTCCTGTAGCAAAAATACAAGTAAAGAGAAACTGCAGAAATATATTGTTCAAAACATAATGTAGATAAATTAAGACTAGACTTACAATAAGTGCAGGGGGAATGCAGACAAAGAGAGCAATTATTGATATGTATGCATACAAGTTGGTACTATCCATGTCAGTCTGTGACAAAGGAAAACAATAAGAAAGTAAGTCAGAAAATAGGAGCTGCTACATATGTAGAGGAGCAAATTGACGTAAAATGCTAGGCCAAAGAGATAAACCATAGCCTTCTTCGAATAGATGCTTCGGTAGGTGAAAGAAATATTTGAGATCATGGCATTAATGAAGCCAGTCCAATTGAACGAGAGTTCAGTGAGGGATGCTACCGAGACACCTGATCATTTGAAAATAGATTTGCAAACAATAAGTACAAAAACACAGGAGTTGCGAAATCTTATTTAAAAAATCAGTCAGAAACAGTGTGTTTTAATCCACATCCTATAACTTCTGGAGCCACGAGTTTCTAAGCATGATCCTAGAGAGCTTACATGAGCAGAAGCGCAGCCTATCACTGACAGGATAGCTGACCGTTTTGTAGGATGGAAAGATGATTTGTTGACTCAGGCAGGCAGGAAAACACTGGTACAATTGTTCTTACTTCTATGGTAGTCTATTTAGCCATGCATGTTAATCTTCCACCATGGGCCACAAAGGCGATTGAGAAAATCTGAAGAAAATTCTTATGGAGAGGGAGAAAACAAGCAAGAGGTGGTCACTGTCCTGTGGCATGGGCCAAGGCTTGCCATCCCCCTGAATTTGGTGGCCTTGGCATGATCTTCAAAAGATGGGATAAGCACAAAGCCACTAAGGATGAGATGGCTTTGGTTGCAGAAGGTTGATCATGAACGGCCTTGGTCTTTCTATCCTGTCCAAGTCCATAAGTGCGTCCAGACTTTCTTCTCCATGGCTGTGTGTATTTAAGTAGGGGATGGTGCTTGCACTCTCTTCTGGAAGGACAGGTGGTTGCATGAGCAGAGAATTAAGGACCTAGCACTTTGTGTATTTGCTCTTGTCCATAAGCAGAGAATAAACGCACAGTTTTGGAGGAGTTCATTGACCACAAGTGGATTTCAGATTTACAAGGAGCACTGGGTGTCGGCGCCTTGTCTGAATTCCTGGACCTCTGGGACCTTCTGTCTCATGTTGTATGACAGCCTCTCAAGTGGAAGACAAGCACATTTGGAGATTGGCTATCTGGTGTTCGGCAAAGTCTGCTTATGAAGGTCTCTTCAATGAAGCTATCATATTCAGACCTTCAGAGATGGTTTGGAAAACATGGGCCCCAAATAATTGCTGATTTTCTTGGGCTGGCTGCACACAGTAATAGGGTGTTTGGTTTGAGAACTCAGTCCATTCTAGATGAGGTGGTGCATCATGAGTCCATTACTCAAATTTGGTGGAATGACTCCATTCCTCATACTAGTACTAATTATTAGCTTGTGAGGAATGAGGTGATGATGCATCAACTCATTCCATTCCACAAAGCAAACAAAAAAGTGAGGAATGAGTAGATGATGGACTAGACCATTTCTCAAACCAAACACCCCCTAAATGTTTGGACCGCTGATCGTCTTGCGCGTCGATGTCTGCCGTCTGAAGCATCCTCCTTAATGCATCCTTTGTGATCAAGAGGAGGAAACTACCAACCACCTTATAAGTTCATGTGTCTTTGCTAGGCAATTCTGGTATGGTCTGCTGCTGAAAATTGGCTTGCAAAGCCTTGCACCCCAACTGGGTGATACTTCAGATCGAGTTGTTTAGTTGATGGCTTAGCTCAGCAAGGCCTTAACTCATAATTATTCTAGGTGCATGCACCCATTGCAAACATTGTAACCGGTGAGTATTTGATAAAGCATTAGCGGATGTAAACTACAAGGTTGGCATCAGAGGAGATGAGGCTATGGAGTTTAGCTGGGGCTAAGGGCATTGCTTTCTGTCCTCCCCATCAGATAAGGATGTTTAGGTTTCAGGTTTTACAGTCAAGGTCGTCTTTTTATGATTGTAAAAGGAGCATGAACAATATGTTAGAACCTGGGTGTGTGTTTGTGTAAAAGTGTGTTTTAGGTCTCTCGTAAGGGTTCTTTATCCTTTCTTCTTAATATAAAGATATGCAGCTCTCCTACGTGTTCAATAAAAAAAAGGTATGATCCTACCGCTATGATGTGGCCTAAACTGTTTCTACTTTCTACAAAGAACATTGCCTATAATGCTGGCAACAATAGCAGATTTTTAACCGGTATGATTGGTTGCTTGCATTAGACCTTATGCAACACAACCCAAGATGGAATAAACGTATGCAATATCTTGGTATTTGGTTGTCCTGCACAGGCAAGCTGTGTGTGTTTGCTTATACTGTGTTACATGTAGTCACCTCCATGCAGTCACCTCCAGTTCCAATAGAGGTGGGGGAGGAAGATTTGTGTGCCCCATCAGCTTGTGCAATCTACATTGCCTAATACGGCAATACGACCAAATTTGGCATACTATCTAACGCTGCATTGGACTTGCTTTGAGCACCGTGCAAACCTATAAGAGCCTTTGTGCCTCTGTGCCTCTGTGGGCAACCAAACACAGTTAAACTGCACTGCACAAGCCTGGATACATGCTAATGCAAGCAACCAAACAAACCCTATATAACTAAAGGGAGTACCTGGTTCTAACATCTCCCACAAAAAGGTGGGATCTGGGAAAGGGAATTTCTAGGCAGCCTTACCCTTGCTTGTTTTGCAAGGAGGCTGATACGAACCTACTCCACCAAAATAAATGACATTTTAGCAGGTGACCTGAACCTATCCTCCACCCCTAAATAAGAACTATGCAGCACTCGCACATCACCCACAAGGATTATCTTCTGTTCTACAACATGTACATCATCACCCCCCTGAACCAAAGAGCTACAAAAAGTACCAAGTTGAACCTTGTCTTGAATACCGTAGCATTGATGTTGCAGCATATCACAAGTACAAGCTTATACAGCTAGCACCACAACTAAAGAAAAATCTGGAATAAGACATACCAACCACGACTGGAACAAGAGATAGCCAGAGTGTCAATGGAACTGGTTGTCCAAGGATAAACTGAGAAGCAGCCGCATTGAAGAATGGCTCGAGAGCTGTGTTGTAATTTGTAAAATTGGAAACATATTAGCACAAGAAAACAGGAGGTAGAGGGATAATAATAGAAATAAAATCAGCTTATCATAGAAGCACCTTTAATAGTGTGGGCAAATGACACAGCTACAGCAGCAAATGACACAGTGCTTGTTACATGGCCAATGGCATGGCAAACAGCAACTGGAACAAGCTGCTTCAGAATTGTTGAGTTGATTGGCTACAGAAGTACATATTGTATTAGTTTATCAGTTCCTTCCAAAAAAAGATCTCACTGAAATATAAAAAAAAAAAAACTACTGGTGCTTAATAGATACAAGAACATTTCGAAAACACTGGAGAATAATTCTGTATAATTTAGCATCATTTGCTAATTCTTCTCAGTGTATAATCCATCCAATAGAAACATTGTCAAACAAAGTTCAGCTAGGCGCTGGGCGGAATCTAGGCGCTGACCCTCAGCCTAGCGCCTAGGCGGGGTTAATCGCGCCTAGGCGTTCCTAGGCGTTTTCCTAGGCGTTTTCCAATACATGCTTAAATTTATTAATACATACTTAAGTACTTAAAAGAAAAGAAAAAATAGAAGACCAATGGTCATGGAACAGGGAGAAAAGAGAAGAAAGGCCCATAAAAACGGCCCAACCCACCTTGTCCACCGTTAAAAACGGCCCAGCACACCTTATCCACGCCTCCTCCCACACCGCCGCCGCCCGCGCCTGCCGCCTCGCCCGCCTTTGCCGCCAGCGCAACCCGTCTGCGGCGCCCGCCGCCCAGCAAGAAGCCTGCTGCCAGCCAGCCAGCCGCGCCGCTTCGCAGCTCCTCCTCCCCCACCGACGACCTCCGCCAGGCGCTCCTCCACCACCACCGCCGCCTAGGGGTCCGCCTACCCCCATAGGCGAGGCGGACACCCTCCGACTAGCGCCTAGTCGCGCCTAGGCGAGCGCCTAGCGGAACTATGTTGTCAAATCAGAAGCACTATATATGCACCTCACTATGCAATATGATCCAACACTAAATATTTTCCTTTAGAGAATAAACAATTTAGTTTGCATGCACACCCTGCTCATAAATGTCACTGAAAACCCTTAACTGTGAGTTAGAGAGGCAGCTATCTATCAAAAATGAAAAAGAGCACGGAGGTGCCGACTATACCGCGCGCTTTGGGATACCGAAGCTCCAGCCAATGAGGCAGTATAGTACTCCAATAAAAAGATGGCTCACTGATACAAAACTACAACAGGTACAAGTTTTATATGTTATTGCAAATGGTGCCAGCATGAAAGACAGAATGCACACTTATCCAGGAAACATACTATGGATAGGGGAAGTAGTCGAAGATCTTCTTGTTGAGGATGTTAAATATTACATTCAGAAAATACCTGCAAGGTTTGATCACAAAGTGACAATTGAAACTACTATCCAAAGGATTTTTTTTTTTTTTTTGCGTAGTTTCATGAAGCCAGATTGGCAATACAGGTAAGTGAACATACCACAAGAAGAAGAAGAAACCTGTGACGAGGGTTGGGTATCTCTCTGCAAATCCCTGGGGCTCTGCTTCTCTGTAATAGAAAATTCATTCATGTTACTAATGACCAACAAAATGATTTTCTTAACTGCAGTGCCATCACCAAAGGTTAAAACTCACAACATACTATGGATCATTTTGAATTTCACAATGGAAACTTAATCTCAGCTCAAAAGTTAAGGAACTCATATATTAGAGAATTGAGATGTAAATTGCAATAAATCGTCGAGGGTGCTTCGACTATAAATTGCCGGTTATATAAAATGGCGTAGGATCACTCTTAGATTTCATAAGTTAAAGTGGTAAATTACTACATGGTAGCTCCAATTTTGAGAGCTGCATCCAATACTCAAAGGGCTTCTTTGTATTTACACGAAACATTGGAGGTGCAATGGCACAGCCCCAATTGTACTCCACCTCTCAAACAAAGGGTACGCACTACGCATCACTGCAGCCATAATCAAGCGAACTGCACTCAGTGGGGTTGCTAAATAAAATATCTACATAAGGTTAAACCTAGGCTTTAATACAAGCCTAGAAGCTGGAATCAAAGTGGGCTACCACATCATAGTGGTGTAATATTGCTCTATCCAGATATCACAGCTCCGTTCAGCTGAAGAAGGCTAAGTGGTCAAGATCTAAACCTCTGCTTCTAGAAGCTTCCACGAATACACTATAGCAGACCCCCCAAAGCCCCAGACTGTTGTTGCTTGGACAAATGCAAGGTACGGCGCGCTGAGACGGCTGGGAAGAAAGGGATGCACTAACCCAGCGGAACCCGAGGAGGCTGCGGTCGCAGCAGCGGAGAGGAACCGCCGCCTCGCTGGACGAGACGGGGAGCTGGAGGAACAGGCAAGGACCGGAGCCGGACGGAGCTGCCTCCCGCAGACGAGGCGGGTGCCCTCGGGGACGTAGGCGGCTACGAAAGAAGGGGTGCCGCCGCGGCGTTGGCGTTGGGGCACAGAAGCGCCAGCGACTGCGGCGGCGCCGGGAAGTGTTCCGACCGCCGCCATTTGCGCCTGTTGGGACGTGGGAGTGCGGCGCGGTGAAAAGGGGAGAGTGGGGGAGAGGGCAGTGGGAGGGTTTGTTTGGGCGGTGCGCATTCGAGCGCGCGGGGATAGTAGAGTATGGAAATGTGAGAGTAGGGGCCCAAGAAGCAGCCGGCCTACAGACGTCGCTTTCCGATTTCGGCCCGGCGCGCGTACAAGTACAACTGCTTGACAAGGGACAGGGACAGGGACGGGACGTAGGGTGTGTTAGCCTGGCAGCGACTACTCCTGGCTACGGAGGGAATGAATAGGTATGTAAAAATTTAACTTAAATCGAAGTTAAATTTATTTAGGCATCATCGCTCTGTGAGTTCGGCACTGTTACACAGTAATACTGTCGCATCTTAACAGCAAGAAGAACACAATGTAGCAACACGAGCACAAGATGACACGAGGAGTTATTTCGTGGTTCGCTCGTCACTAAGACTTGTCTAAATCTACGTTGTTGAGGTATACCATTAAGGCTTTAAGGCTTTGTAACCCTATCTTGTTCTCAAGTCAAGAGAGTGAACTCTTGACATAAGGGGTGATTTTACTCGCTGCAAGATGTGGTTACAAATCTCCCGAGGCTACCACACAAGTTGACAAGCTCCACGAGTGACGCTCTAGCCGGCTAGGAGCCAAGCTCCAAGAGTAACAAACACAATCGCCGGCTAAAACGTGAACTAAGTGCTCTTTAGAGTTTGGGAATCAATGGAGCTGCTCTCAAATCAAGTTTTAGACCCTTTTTCCTTAAGGGTTGATAGGGAAATCAATAGATTTGCTTGGGGCTTGAGGTCAACAATGAAGTGAGAGAGAGAGAGCTCCTGCTCTGTTTTTGGACGTACTGAAGTGAGGAAGAAGAGAGCTGGTTACTGTTGGGGAGAAAGGGGAAAGGTATATATACCCCCCAGCCTCCAACAGTCACTTAAATCGTAGATAGCTGTTGGGGAGAAAAGGGAACGGTACATATATCCCCAGCCCTCAACGGACACCACACCCAAGGGGGCGGGCGAGACAAAGCCCGTGGCCTCGAGGTCGGACGAGGTGGAGCCCGCGGCCTTGAGGTCGGGCGAGACAAAGCCCGTGACTAAGGGGTCGGCGCAAGACAGAGCCGGCACCCAAGAGTCAGGCGAGCCGGAGCCGCGGCCAAGAGGTCGGGCGAGCTGGATCCCGTGAGCAAGGGGTCGATCGAGCCGGAGCCCGCGACCAAAGGGTCGGGAGAGCCAAATCACGCGACCTTAGGGTCGAGCGAGCCGGAGCCCACGACCAAGAGGTTGGGAGAGCCTCTCTTCAAGTGCGGCAGTGCCGCACAACGCAAGACAGCAAGGGTAATAGTGAATTATAGACTGTCTTGGCTGTGAATCTAAGGATGCATGTGGTTATTTGAGCACTTGGTAGCACATATTACCTTAAGCACTATGCCTCCCTTTATAGTACGGCTTTTCCTATACTCAAATTCAATATATATAAGAATTTAAACCTCTTTTAAATTTGAAGCCATCTACATTTATAATTGGAGGCTCCTTCATTTCGTGTAGCATCTTCGAATATAAATTTCCTGCTTGTTATCTCGATAAATGTTATTAGTTCTCTAATTGCGTGGTCATTATCACCAAAATCCATAATTAAGGCTTGATTGCACTTTCAATCTCTCCTTTTGGTGATTGGTGACAACCCAATTATAGCTTACAAAAGATATAAAATAAATACTAAGATTTTCGAGTCATGGGTGTAGAGCTTTCCCCTAAGTATGTGAATAGAGAATTGAATTCTCAAATTGGCATAAGAGGTAAGATTCACATTTTAGTGAAAGTGATGGGGCTCCCCCTACATCCATGCTCCTGTGGGGTGCTGCATACTATGTCAGGTATGTAAAACGTGATGCAAATGACAATTTATGCACAACATGATTTGTTGTTGCAGCTGGGTGCAGCACTGCCGCACTTGCTACAACAACACAGATTAGAACAGACACCACACAGCATATGATACATATAAAGATATACATTCTAACTCAATTGTATCACAAGTGATAGCATAGATTAATATATGTCCATATCCCACACAAAGAGTCAAATAGTAGCATTATTTCATATTTTAGAGTTTTTAATGGACTCTTAAACTCTCACCTAATGAAGATGTTCGTCCAATCAATATCATCACCTCCTACAGTCCTAACACCTCCTGCAGCAGTCCTGGTACCACACAAATATCTCCCTAGATGTTCGTCCAATCAATATCATCACCTCCTACAGTCCTAACACCTCCTGCAGCAGTCCCGGTACCACCATCACAATCATCGTCATTGGAGTCAATACGTGCACAGCCCTAACGGTGAGTAGTAGCGGTGAAGCGAGTGAAACGAGTGGAATGCCTCGGCTCCTGTCTCTGACGGTATCCCACTAGGGTCTCATCCCAATCTGCTGCTCGTCCCTGCTGTTCCTCATCATCATCATTATCCTCATCATCTGAATCTATATCGGAGATACTCGGAAGGTCATACTGTGGAGGAGATAGAATAGGAGGAAGTGGTGGAAGGTCCTGTCCACGTTGTTGATGCTGCTCAAGCTGTGTCTCATACACTCTGTCAGCTGCATAGGTGCACTTGCTGAAGATTGCCTTGAACCACTTGCCAAACTTCTTCATCTTGCCTCCTTTACGAGACCTAGAGTGGGAAGACTCAAGGATATCTACATGAATATGAGAGCTCCCCGCTCCCTGAGTAGCTGCAGCTGGCTGCGTCTTCTCAATTTTGTAGACGGTGTGCATCCCATCCTTCGGAAAATAAAATCCAGTGACCCTCTCAATCATGAACATGAGGTAAGGGCATAGGGCAGCCCCCTCCTCTCATCCTCCACTATAAATCTCAACTCAGTCCACATGAATCTAGGGACATTGAACATGTCCCCACCTAGAGCAAATCTAGTGTTTACACCAAAATTTGGAGAGAAGAACGCGGGAACTCAAAGCTTCTGAAATTGTGTCAATCAAGGACTCGATTGCATGAAGATTGATATCAGCTAATTCAGAGGAGACACTAGAATCGGCTCTATTGAATGACGTCAGCAGATAACGATGATGAGCTACGGTTGGCGTCAGAGAACTACATATCAGACTCTACAAAAAAGGAAATATTAGGGTCCAAGTTATCTTAAGATATGAATGTTTTCTTCTATACCAAAGATTATAATGAGTCGTACTCAAGTAGGATTCATGTTTAGGCTCTGGGTATAAATATTGGACCCTGGCTATTGTAAAAGAACAACAATCAATCAAATACAAATTACTTACTTTTTTGGCTCCGGCCAACCCTTAGGAGTAGGAGTAGAGTAGATATCGATAAGTTCTTCAGTGAGTAGGGCTGCATCGGTTCGGACGACCTTTGGCTTGTCTATAAGTACCGTCATGGCTTATACTTATGTTCGTACGGCTGCATCGATCCGGTCGACCTCCACTGTGACTCTGGTATAAGCTAGTTATCGACTTTTGTCTAGTTCAAGTACGGCTGCATCGATCCGATCGACCTCCACTGCTCGAACTAGATTAAGATCAAGTTATCGGCTCTATCTAAGGGTGGCGTCCTTCGGATAGATTCATTAAGTTACCGATATTGCTTATTGCTTTCATTATTTATTTAATTACAGCAATATCACTTTATCCGATTGGGATTGATCTAGATCGGCCTTATATCCTGTTTAACCCATCATTTATTAATCTAAATTGATCTAATCTACGCCTTAAATGATGAGTTATGTTTTATCGGCTGTTTTATGTCAATCTTGATCGTGCATAGTGTGCGGTTAAGGCATGCCGGGTCTTGAATAGATCTATCGGCTAGCGAAAACCGTTCCATGGCCTGTTATCACAGCCTGTGTGATTCTGTCTCACACCCCACTATTAGCACCGTGGAGCAAGGACCGTTATCTAGTAGATCTGTTCCTGATAGGGCATGACCTTAACTGTGTGCTATGCTTAAATCGGCTATTTTAGCCAATATCGAGTGCTTTCACATATACAGTTACGTCATGAGACCGTCGAAGTAAGGGTAGGTTGAAAGATATGTTAGCCCCATGATCTTATTATTGCATTATGGCCTACATGATTCTGCCTCATGCTCCACTGATATTAGTAATAAGTTAGGGTCGTCGCATCTATTGTTGTTTCTACGGCCTGTATGATTCTGCCTCATGCCCTACTGGTCATAGCGATAGATGAGATCTAATATGTTCATTAGATTTGTCTCTATAAAATGGTTAAATGATGATGAACTATTTCTGAATTTTTATGTAAAAAGGGACTCGGTTACTTGCAGTCATTGACTTAGCATAAACTGATTAGTGTTGACATTCTTTTGCCATTGACTAATATTTGTCTAAATAACGATGTTCATCCTGAATGATAACCAATTTTTCTTCCATAATTCTATGAGCTTTAACTGATTTATTCTTCTGAGTATGTTGGAATTGGCTATTTAGTCGATCTCCTTCCACATCGGCTCTTAGAGCCGCACAGTCAGAACTGTCTGGCAACACCGACATGTTCCACCTTAAATTACTGATTAATTTTCTCTCATTGTCAATTGTAGGTTCAAATTGACTGGCACGTCTCGGGAGGAGTACGCAGGATCGATCATTCCCTGCGTTGAAGCCAGGCGGATCTCTAGCTCCATCGAGCAGACCATTCTGGCTTGCTCGTGTGCCGGGCACAAGACTAATTTTCATGCCGACACATGTTCTGGCATGCCCGGTGGGACCCCACGATCATCATGGCGGCTTACAATAACAACGACATCCTTATGGTACCTTATGAAGACCTACCTGATGGAGATAAATATGTCATCAGCAAAGCTATAGAAGAATTTTAGAACAAGTATTTGTTGTCCTACACCAAAACACGTGACAATATAATTATTCAGAAATATCCACTACCAAGAGTTCTATTGCATGGGCGGACAGATGTAGATGAAGCTGAAGACAATGTTT